TATATATCCATTCCCTCCTCCCCCCTTCCATTTGGCTGATGCCTGATAAATGTTATTCCTGTATGTACACTTAGGTGTTGATCAGTGAAACCAATTTGCTGGGGAGTACGTGTGGTGCTTATTTTTCCATTCTTGGGATACTTAGTAGAATGGGTTCCAGCTCTATCTAGGAAAATACAATGGTTATATCACCATTTTTCTTAGAGCTGAATAGTACTCCATGGCATACATATACCACAATTTATTAATCCATTCATGTATTGATGGGCACTTGGATGGTTTCCACATTTTGCAGTTATGAATTGTGCTGCTATAAAAATTATAGTGTAGATGTCTTTTTTATAGAATGTCTTTTGTTCTTTTGAGTAGATGCTGCGTAATAGGATTGCTGGGTCAAATGGTAGTTGTACTTGTGGCTCTTTAAGGTATCTCCATATTACTTTCTACTGAGGTTATACTAGTTTGTAGTCCCACCAGCAGTGTGTGAGTGATCCTTTCTCTCCACATCCATGCCATTATTTATTGTTTGGGGACTTTTTGATAAAGGCCATTCTCACTGGAGATAAGTGATATCTCATTGTGGTTTTGATTTCATTTCCCTGATGATTAGAGATGTTGGGCATTTTTAAATATGTTTCTTGGCCATTATTCTGTCTTTTGAAAAGCTTCTGTTCATGTCCTTTGTCCACTTTTTGATAGGATTGTTTGATTTTTTTTCTTGCTGATTTTCGTGAGTTCTAAGTAGATTCTAGTTATCAGCCCTTTATCAGATATGTAGCATGCGAAAATTTTCTGCCATTCTGTAGGTTGTCTGTTTGCTCTCTTGACAGTTTCTTTGGCTGTGCAGAAGCGTTTTAATTTTATCAGGTCCCATTTGTTTATTTTTGTTGCTGTTGTGATTGCCTTTGGGGTCTTCTTCATAAATTCTTTGCTAGGCCAATGTCTAGAAGAGTATTTCCAACGTTTTCCTCTAGAATTCTAATAGTTTCACACCTTAGGTTTAAGTCTGTTACCCAGCGTGAGTTGATTTTTGTGAGAGGTGAAAGGTGTGGATCCTGCTTCAGCCTTCTACAAGTGGGAATCCAGTTTTCCCAGCACCATTTATTGAATAAGTATTCTTTTCCACAGTGTATGTTTTTGTCTGCTTTGTCAAAGATTAGATGGCTATATAAGGATGATTTTATATCTAGATTCTCCATTCTGTTCTGCTGGTCCATGTCCCTGTTCTTGTGCCAGTAACAAGCTGTTTTAATTACTATAGCCTTGTAGTATAGTTTGAAGTCTGGTAAATTGATACCTTCCATTTTGTTTTTATTGCCTAGGATTGCTTTTGCTATATGAGGTCTTCTTTGGTTCCATATGAAGCATAAAATTATTTTTTCTATGTCTGTAAAAAGTGATGTTAGTATTTTAATGGGAATTGCATTGAATCTATAGATCACTTTGGGTAGTATAGACATTTTAACAGTGTTGATTCTGCTGACACACAAGGATGGTATGGTTTTCCACCTGTTTACGTCCTCAGCTGTTTCCTTCATCAGTGTCTCATAGTTCTCCCTGTATAGGTCTTTTACCTCCTTAGTTAAATATATTCCTAGGTACTTTATTTTCTTTGTTGCTATTTTGAAGGGAATTGAGTCTTTGAGTTGGTTCTCACTTTGACTGTCATTGACATATATAAATGCCTCTGATTTGTGTGTATTGATTTTGTATCCTGAGACTTTACTAAATTCATTTATCAATTCCAGGAGTCTCTTGGTTGAATCCTTGAGGTTTTCTAGATATAATATCATATCATCAGCAAACAGTGAGAGTTTGATCTCTCTTTCCCCCATTTGGACACCCTTCAATTCCACTCTCTTGTCTGATTGCTATAGCAAGGACTTCCAGCACTATGTTGAATAAAAGTGGAGATAGTGAGCAACCTTGTCTTGTTCCAGTTCTAAGTGGGCATGCTTTCAGTTTTTTCCCATTGAGTATGATGTTGGCTGTGGGTTTGTCATATATGGCTTGTGTCATTTTTAGGTAAGCCTCGTCTATGGCTATTTTGTTAAGCGGTCTTATCATAAAAGAGTGTTGAATTTTTTCAAATGCTTTTCCTGCATCAATTGAGAGGATCATATGGTCTTTGTTTTTGCTTCTGTTTATGTGGTGAATTACATTAATAGACTTGCCTATGTTGAACCATCCCTGCATCTCTGGAATGAACCCCACTTGGTCGTGATGGATTATTTTCTTGATAAGCACCTGGATTCGGTTAGCTAGGATTTTGATGGGAATTTTTGCATCTATATTCATGAGGGATATTGGTCTGTAGTTTTCTTTTTCTGTTGTATCCTTTTCTGGTTTTGGTATCAGGGTTATGTTGGCTTCATAAAATATGTTGGGGAGGATTCAAGAAGGATGCTTCTTGATGTTGTGGAATACTTTCTGCAGGACACGCACCAGATCTTCTTTATGGGTGTGGTAAAATTCGGGTGTGAAACCATCTGGTCTGGGACTTTTTTTTTAGGAAGGTTTTTTAGTGCTGTTTCAATTTCAGTACTTGATGTTGGTCTGTTCAGGAATTCTATTTCTTCCTGGTTGAGCCTAGGGAGGCTGTGTGTTTCTAGAAGTTTGTCCATTTATTCCACATTTTCTAGTTTGTTTCCATAAAGGTTTTTGTAGTATTCATAAATTATATCTTGTATCTCCATGGCATCAGTTGTAATTTCTCATTTATTGTTCCTGTTGGAGCTCATTGGAGATTTTTCTTTTCTGCTTTTCATTAGTCTAGCCAAAGGTATGTCGATTTTGTTCATTTTTTCAAAGAACCAACTTTTTATTTTATTAATCTTCCATATAGTTTCCCTGTTGTCAATTTCGTTTAGTTCTGATTTGATCTTAATGATTTCACTTCTTCTGCTGGGTTTGGGGTCGATCTGTTCTTCTTTTTCCAGCTCTTTGACTTGACTCATTAGGTTGTCTATTTGTGATTTCTGACTTTTGAATATAGGCATTTATGGAAATAAACTTTCCTCTCAGGACTGCTTTAGCTGTGTCCCACAGATTTTGGTAACTTTTGTCTCCTTTGTCATTTAATTTAGAGAATCTTATTTCTCTGCTCCATCTGTGACTGACTTATTTAATTGCAAGGTATTATCTTAAATCTCTGAGATTGTTTCTTCTGTTTGATCTACCCTGTTCTTGAGGCTTTCTACTGTGTTTTGTAGTTCCCTGAACAGATTCTTAATTTCTAGGATTTCAGTTTGATTTTTCTTTAATATTTTAATTTCTTTAGTGAATTTTTCTTCTAGGTCTTGGGGTGTTTTTTTTTTTTTGTCGTTTCTTTGTGTTGGTCATCCATTTTTTCTTGCAAGTCATTGAGATTTCTTACAATCCATGTTCAAAATTATTCTGTCATTTTAGTGTTCTGACTTTGGTTAATGTCTATTTCTAGAGAGCTGGTGTTCCTCTTTGGGGGTGTTCTTTCTATTTGATTTTTCATACTTCCAGAGTTCTTTTGCTGATTCTTTCCCATCTGAATCAGCTGTTGCTTCTTACCTTTAGGTTTTCGTTTGAATAATGACATCTCTGTTTAGTCTCTAAGCCAGTAGGTGGTGTTTGTGGGTGAGATTCGACCACACTCTGTATGAGTCAGTAGATGCAATAAAAGGGTGTACAGAATGACCTCCCTGTCAGTAGGTGGGGCTAGCTGGAAGCAGCAGGCTGCAGTATTGTTTTTGGGTTCCATAATTAGCTCGTGTTCCTCTGGAGACGCACCGTTATGCCTCAGGTGGTGGGTGGGGCCCTGGGACTTCCAGGTGTGTCCTTATTCTCCACCTCAGTGGGGGCAGGTCTGGGAGTGAGTCTGGGTGGAACTGGGTTGGGTAAGCCTGCCTTCAAGCACCACAAATACTGTTAGCAGAAAGCAAAGGTCTGTTCTCTGCTTCTGGGCAAAGCTGTCAGGGAATGGCTAGAATGGTCCCACTCAGCCCAAAAGTATGTATGTGGGGGTGGGGCTGTCCAAGACCGACAGACCTCACTCCTTTCCACCCTCCCCTATTCCGTGGTTTCTCCTGGGCTTCTGCCATCAGGCAGGACCTCACACCAGCAGATCTCCCCTGGCTGTGATGAGGACCAGGAGGTTCCCTGCCCAGGATCACAGCCTGGGCTAGACACATGGCCCTCCCATGGGATGAGGGTTGCCCCTCTAGCACGCTGATCTGCCCCTGAAGGCACACACACCTTAGTAGGCTCATTCACAAATACTCCTTCTGTGCCCGGTGCAGTGCAATCGACAACTGTGTTTAGGGGATCTGGTCTGCAGGCCTGTCCCTTGGGCCCTGGAGATCGATCCCTGACCCTTCCAGGGAGAGGAGTGCTGGTCTCAAGTCACCCACGGGGTGCCCAAGCTGGATCGATGTCTCTCCACCTCGGCATTTGCCCCATTCTCCCGGAGTCACCAGGCTGGCAGCACCTGGGAGGGCTGGCAGGTAGGGAGCTCACAGTCTGAGTACCCCTCAGTCTGCTGTAGGGCCCCAAAAGTAAAGGTCCCGTTCCTTGGAGATGACTCTGTGTGATGGCTAAATTGTCTCTCTGGACACCCATGGGTAGGGAAGGGGAAGGAGAGAATGAAGTAGTATGGCACTTGCTGATCTGCTCAGGTCTGTGTGTGGGGAGGTGCTCCAAGGGAGCTGGGAGTCTGGTATCCTGTCCACAAGAGGCTGAACGCTCAGTGGCAGCAGCCGTCTCTGGGCTGGTATTAGCAGGTCTCTCCAACCACCCAGGAGCCCACCAGGAGTCCGAGATGCAAAGGAGGGGAAAGTTAACTGCACCTACCCTTGTCGCTGGTCTCCAAGCCTCTCAGGGGCCTTTCTCCTTCCAGTTCTCCTCCGCAACATCTTCCCATGGAATCTCCTGTAGGTTCAGGCACCCTTCCTTCTGACCCTCATCTGATCTATGTCTGCTTGTTTATTTTTTTTTCCACTTTCTTCTAAAATCTGTCTTTTTTGCAGAGACACTCTGGTTGGTGGTTTTTCTTGTCCACCATCTTGGTTCCCTCCTTTTTTTTTTTAACAACTTTATTGAGCTATTCACATACCACAGAATTCACCTACTTCAAGTGTACAGTTAAATGTTTTGTTTTAACCATATTCACAGGATTGTGCAACCATTGCAACAATCTAATTTTAGAATATTTTTGTCCCCCCTGAAAGAAATCCCATACCCATTAGTTGTCACTCCCCAGTTCCCTCCAACCAGGCCCCCAGCTCCTGACAACTGCTCATCTACTTATGGTGTCTACAGACTGGCTGATTCTGGACATTTCATGCACATGGAGTCATATAATGTCTCCTTTTCTCCCTGGCTTCTTTCTCTGAGCATAATATTTTCTGAGTTTGTCTGTGTTATAGCTTGTTTCTACTTCACTTGCTTTTATTGCTAAATAATATCCCATTGTATATATGTGCCACATTTTACCTATTTATCCATCAGTGGATGAAATTCAAGTTCTTTCCCACATCTGGGCTTTTATGGATAATGCTGCGGTGACCATTTGTGTATAAGTCCTAAGTCTTGTTTTAATCTGTAAGATTGTCTTCTTTTTTTCTTTTTTTTGTAATTTATTCAATCAGAAAACTGGTTTGTTCATCTTAATAGAGTTTCCACAGTATGGATAGATGGTGTTGCTCTTATCACTTGTGGTGTCATTTAATATTTTCATGTGCCATTGGGTTTCCTCTGAATTAATATTGAGATCTAGAGGCCCAGTCAGATACAGGCTCAAATTTTTTTAGCAGGGATCCTTAATAGGGGTGTTTTGTTCTTTCATCAGGAGGCTCACAATGTCTGGGTGTCATTTTGTGATGTTAGTAGGCAGTACCATTGCCTAGCTCCATTAATTCACTAACAGTGAATTAATTTCCCAAGAAATTAATATGAAATCTTTTTTGCATTATGGTTTCAAATTCATTACTACTTGTGTGTAGAAAAATGATGTGTTTGTAAGTATGTAGTATATTTTAACTAGCTACTCTATTATACTTTCTTGTAAGTTCTTATGGTTTCTCATAAGAGTCTCTAGAACTTTCTATCTATTTATGCCATATGCCAATTAGTGTTTCTGGCAGACCCTCCTTTCTATTTCTTGCCACATTGCGTTGGCTAGGACTGCAGAACACCCCAGTCAGCCATGGCAGTGAGGGAGCCCCTTGCTACAGGAATCCTTCCAGAGATGTTTATGCCCACCCAGACATGGACGTGCCCTTATTTCTCTCTGGTGTTACACTTTAGGGACAGTCAGATCCATGCCTCCGTTGGTTGTCCTAGAGATCACACTTAGTCATGACCTCTGACCACTTACCATGGGCTCTGCACTCAGGGACCACAGAGGGTGGTCAGCTGTGCTGGAGCTAGCATCAGCTGAAAATAATGCAGCTATTGGTCTTTTCTAAATAAAACATCACGTGCAGAGGAAGTGCCCTAAGGCTGGGCTAGAATGAGGCCAGGCTAAAATGAGGTATAGAGACGGCACGAGGATGCAGGGGTCCTGACCAGGTCTGTCAGTCACCATACCTCTGGGTGCTGCCCACAACACTGTCAAAACACTTGTCTGCCTGAGTTTATTTCCTCCAAGGGTACATGCTAGCATGTAGGGTCTGCTCTGGTAATGCAGATGCCCAGGCTCTGCCCTTAAGAGGTGAGGCCTCCCTGGGAGAAAGGGTAGTTATGAGCAGTTTAAGGGTGTTGTCATTTTTTTAAAGATGGGGAAGAGGGCTTTCTCCTCTGTTCCCAAGGTTTCCCCCCTTCCTTTTTGAAGCAGAATTGCAGAGCAGCTCCCAAGGGCAGAAACCCAGCCTGCAAAAAAAGCAGCAGGTTGTGGGAGGTAGGAGAGTTTAGAGGAGACTGAACCAAAGCTGTCCCAGAGGCTCCAGGCACTGGAGAGCACCTTTTTCCTGTCTGCCAAATGCCAGACTTGTGGATGGGCCAACAGGACAACTCACCCAGCCTAAATCTTTTTAACAGTGAAGCAGTGGGAAAATCATTTCAAATTTCTTCTGCCCTTTTTTCGCCTAGTAAAAAATGAGGCCATAGAAGAGCTGTACTTGAGGGATGTCAGTCGTCTCCCCATAAGCTTCCTGGATAAGGTGGTATCTGCCAGGTTTCTCCACTGTCCTTTCTCTTTTCCCCTTTGTGCCATCAGCACAGGCTGAGCTCACAGCATTCCATAAGCACTCACCTGCACCCAGTCCTCTTGGCTCTGTCCAGTAGCCTGTGCAGCCACCACTCTGGTGGCAGATTGGCATGTGACACATGGGCTTCAGTATGCACAGGATCTCTGCCAGTAGTGCCAGCTGCTCGCACTGCATGTGACTGGCACTGACAGAGTGAACGAGAGAGCCACCAGCAGTGGTGAGTCCCATTGCAAGAACTCCTCTTGTGATCGTCTGGGAGAGGGGAGAGGTGGGGCTAGCCAGGGATGCTGGAGGTTTCGGGGAGTCTTTCCATCCCCCATACCCAGCCTGAGCTTTGCAGAGAGCAAGCCAGGAGAGTTTGGGTGTTTGGAGAGACATGGAGGGATAGTCAGGTGTCAGGAGGGCAGGTGGGTTAAACAGTGAGGGGGCATGGAGTGAGAGTGGACATGAGGCCAGAGAGAGACACCCAACCCAGCTGGAGACATGACTGGCACATGCCAGCCACAACCTCAGCCACTTAATGTTCACAGGCCATCAGGTAGCATCTGGACAGTTGGTCAGACAACCAAACAGACACACAGGCCCATGCCCAGACAGACTTCGAGAAAGATGGACAGAATCTCAAGGAAATAACTCCTACCTAGACAGATAGCCATGAAAATGGACAAATCATTGGACAGATGGGCAGATCCCAGCCACACATCCAGATAGACCTGTGACCATAAAGACATGTGAATACCCACCGCCAATTGGAAGGTAGATCCCAGCCAAGCAGAAGTCAGAACCCCTCAAGGACAGACCCACTCCCACAAATGGACAAAGACCTTACCCCAGTGAAGAGACACTCCAGCCAGCCAGCAAGACCTGCATCTGGGCAGACAGACTTACCCTCCACCAGTAAGATAGGCCTTGGCCTATAAGAAAGGCCGTCAGCAGTGTCTCTTGCTGGACAAGCATCCCACCACACCCCCGCTCAAACAGGTGGACCCTCAGCCCCTAGTTGGACAGCAGATGCCTAGCTAGCCAGGCAAAGACCCCGGTCACTGGTCAGCCTCCCTGCCTACCACCATGAATGACCCAGTGACTGAACCCTCAGTGTTGCCACTGCTTCCAGGTACCACCCAGTCTCCAGTGGCCATCAACCTCAGGTGACTTGCACTACCACCACAGTCTGCAGAGACCGTCCATGATCCCTTCGTGCTCCAGTACCCACTAGCCTACAATGACTGCCATTAGCAACCACCAGTACTCAAGGACTTGGCCTCCGTATTTTCTCACAGCTCACTGACACTTCTGTATTCTGCTCTTCTGAGTCTCCAAGAACCCATGTCCATTCACAAAACCTCAATGAGTCCACTGACACTCAAGGTCGTGCACTGACTAGGAGCAGTGTACTTCCTTAGTGACTTCCCTGACTCTTCTGACCCTTCACCTATTAACACTACAGATCCCAATGGCTCCTCAGTTACTTTCACTGACACCCTTGCCCCATGAACATCTAGGGGACTCTGGCTGACCACCAGTGACTTAACTGTCACCATCCATCCTCAGTGGTCACTACTGACTTTCCCTCCCAAGAACCCTCAAAGATGAAACTGGTAAATGATAAGCCCTGATTCTATAGTGACTCCCCCAACAAGAGCTCCACTATGAAGGAAACACCCACATCGTTTATCCACACTGACCCACTGAGCTGTCAACCATGTAAGCCAGGGTCAAATTATATCCTGCAGGCCTCAAAAAGAATATTTTGTGGTACATGAAAATTAAATGAGATTCTAATTTCAGTGTCCATAAATAGTTTTATTGGAATACAGCTACACACATTTGTTTATATGTTACCTGTTTATGGCTGTGTTCATGCTGCCACCTCTCCCAGTTAAGTAGGTGGGACAGAGGCCAGAGACAGCAATGCCAAATCCACTTCCTATCTAGCCCATCCCTGACTGAAACACTCTGATGACCCCTAATGAGTTAAATTGTCAACCTGATATTAGTGATAAAGCACACACCCAGTCCCCAGTGTTACCTTTCAACACTTCAGCCTCCTGGAACTGTTCACTGACGCTGCCTCTGGCGTCGCCCGTCGAAATTCTTCCATGGCCTCGGTGAGGGGCACTAACCCATCTATGCAGACCTGTACTTGATGGGACCCTAGGTGCCAGTCCACTGGCTCCAGCCTGCCCTCCGTGACCTTGGGGGCTAGGACAGCAGCTCTTCTCTGACCTGCAGATTTTCTGATGATGGTGTGGAGACGGAAAAAAAAAAAGAGAGAAGCTCTTTAACAGCGTTGAGAACACTTTCCCCCTAGACCCCCCTTCCAGCGCCTCAGTTCTGTCTCCCAACAGGTTTATTCTTGTGGAGCTCCTCAAATTACCATTGATCCTGGCGCCCTCAGCGCCACGGAAAAAGAACCTCCGGAAACAACAGATCCAGAAGTTCCGCTCCCATGCGGTCTTTCCCATGTCACGGGCGACCAGGCGTAAATTTTCCCCGCGGCTAGCTCTCCCCCAATTCCCATGGACCCGGCTGGAGCGCATAGCGCGGGATGCCCCTACCCGGGGCCCCTGGGCAGGAGGAGCAGGCCGATCTCGGCGACCGTCCCCACTGACCGTTCTCCCCAACACACACCAATCCCCCAACTTGTCCCGCGGTCGGACCCCGACGCAGCCTGGCGGCACCTGGAGACTAACCCAGGGCGCGGATCCCAAATTAGGGGTGGGTCCAAAAGGGAGGAAGTGTCCGCAGGACTGTGCGGACTCAACCCGCAGGCGCGGCAGCCAAAGAAAAAAAAGAAACACGGAAGAGCCAGCGGAGACTGACTTATGCCCAGCCCCCAGGACCGCGCGCTCCGACAGCCCCAGCGTCCGGAGCACCCAGGACGGGCGTAATGCCATTGGCTTAGGGACGGCCGCTGCGTGCTTCCACTGGCTGGCTACGACGTGGGCGGAGTCTCCTCGCGGGCCGCTGCCTCCGCAGTGTCTACACTGGCTGGGGATGCTGAGCGCTGAGGCTGGACGGCACCTCGCAGGCTTGCGGCGCCATGAGCCGCAGCGTGGACGGGCGCGGAGCTTCCTGGAGCAGCTAGAGGCGCGGGTCGGCCGGGAGGGCGCGATCCTCGCCAGCGAGTTCTGCGTGAGTAGGCAGTGTGGACCGCTGCACCGCGCGCTTGGCTCTTCGCCTTGGACTGTCCCGACGTCCGTCCTCCCTCCTGTGCGCCCTACGAACCGTCTTGTGACCCGGGGCGTCTTCCCGTTCTGGGGTCTCTCGGTTTTTCTCTCCCAGCACCTCTCTGTCGCGCTCTCGCGCCATCTCGATCTTCACCCTCTGCCCCCAGGCCCCAGAGGGCGAAGTCCACGCCGGGCTGGGACGGGCAGTGCACACCCTTGAGTCCTGGAACAAGCCCGCCGCCGGGTGGAGCGGGCGAGGCTGGCGGCACACCCACGCTGGACCTCCAGGGCGACCTGGCTGTCATCGCTGTGATCACAGAAAGGAAGGGGCCGGGAGCGGGGCAAAGAGGAACCGGAAGGCCCTGGCGCTGCTAGGGTATGGACGCACCTCTAATCAGCGTCCAGGCCTTTATGGACTGTGGTGCAGGGTGGTTTCTTCTTTGGTGACATGGGGGCGTTAATGACCAAACTGGCTTGAGGAATAAATGATGTGGGTAAAAGCACTTAGCACACCGTAGGCGCTCACTTCGTGGATGCCCTTGTCACTACTTATAAAGATTCTAAACATTACAATAGAGGTAGCGCAAGCGCAGCGTAATGAAGGCGAACGCAGCGTGGTAGGCGTGGCATACTACAGGTAATAAAAGTACCAAATTTAAAAACGATATGCAAATATGTAAACAGTACATAGTGGCATATATCAAATTCAGAAATATGTGGCATAAAAACAAAAGGTAAGTATGATTATAAATGACAATTTACACAAAAACATAACTTCTTAAAACGATACAAATATAACAGATAAAATCATAATTTATAAAATGTGATTCAAAAAATGTATAAGTAAATATAAAATATGTAACAGATACGTATAAAATAAACCTAAATAATTTACATGCATGCAGAAATATTGTAGCATGTAAGAAATTAAATAAGAAACGCATAACAAATGCAAAATGAAAAATTTACACAATATGAAAATGTACATAACGCGAACATAGAATGACCATGTGCTACATGACGTCACGCAGGTCAGTGAATTTACTCGGTGGTCCTGGTGGTCAACAGTGCTGGGGCCCTACGTTAGGCAGGCAGTGTGGGCGCCCCTGTCACCATGGCCCGCCTCCTGCACTCACAGGAACCGCAGGGCTTCTGGAGGTAAAATACCGACGGTAGCACCCAGTACACCTTGGTGTGCAGGAGGACTAAAGTGACCTGCGGGCATAAGTAAAGCACTTAGCATTGTGGCATACAATGTTGGCGTGGGAGATGTTACTTATTGTGATTAGGAATACCTGATGATGATGATAATACACTATCCACTAATGATAATATTCTGTGCCTAATAAAGGACCTATAGTATCTTGTTACCTTCAGCAAGTCGCTCAACCATGTGGTGCGTCAACTTTCTCACCTGCATAATGGGGGTCCCGGCTTTACTGGGACCTTGTGATGATTAAATGCCTTTAGCACAATGCCGGGCACAGAGAAGGTGCTCTGGGTTGCTATTATTATTTTATCATTATTGTATCATTATTACTAAGCAGGCCCGGTGTTTCTGGGGGTCTTCAGACACCTTCCCGGGGCCACTTGCACCCTCTGAGTGCCTCGGGGTGCCAGGTCTTTGACCTGGCTCCTCTCTTCCCCTCTCCTCCTTTCCTGGGGCCTCCTACCGGGACATCAAGGCCCGCTCCACCGCCTGGGAGACGGGGCCGGAGACGCGTGTGGTCCACCGAAGCCGGCAGACTGCCTGGGCACCTGAGGAAGAGCCGCTATAAAGATGGGCTGCCATATACGTTGGGGGGCTTCCACGGGGAGTGGGCAGCAGTCGAGCGGCTGGCGCACCCCTGTGTCACCTACTGTGCTCCCAGGACGCTCTCCCTCCCAGAGCCTTGCCGTGGCTGCGGGGTCACCCCCAAATTCCCAGTTTCTTACCTCACCCGCTGGCAGATGATCAGACAAGAGTGATCCTCTCCCTGCTCCAGGAGGGACACATCAATGGCAACTTCATCCGGATCAGGCTAAGGGGCTGACTGGGGTGGGGGGAGTTGGGCAGCAGTATGGCAGTAGGGAATGTGGCCTTTACCGGGGCATAGACGGAAGCCAGGCATATATTGCCATGCGAGGACCCCTGCAGCACACCCTGCTAGACTGGCCACTGATCTGGGAGTTTGGGGTCAAGGTCAGCTTTCAGGGAAGGGTGGAATGAGGTGGGGCCAACATTCTGAGGATTCCCCCAACCCTGCTCCCTGGCCCCCTGACCCAAATCACCTCCCTTCCATCTTACCCCTCTGGTCTAGGTGACCCTGATGGCATGCAGAGAGAGAATAGGCGGGTAGGTGTCCTCAGGCCCCCACCATGCATGTCCTTGTGAAGGGAGGAGGGAGGAGGAATCTTGCTAGCTCCTCCCTGACCCCAGAACCCGAGGACACAGTTCTTGGAGTAACCTAACTGTGGCTCTGCGGAAAGCCCCACTGTTTCCCTTTTTAATTTTTTGTTGATCTTTTTTCTTTTATTCATGGGGCTCAGCCCACCCCCATTGGCAACCCTCTCCTGCTGGGCTTCCCACCCATTTCACAGCATAGGCCATGAGCCCTATACTGACTAGGTCCCCTGTACAGCTCTGATCACTCTTCCTGCCTGTCTGTCCTTAATTCACTCCACTCTAACAACTCTGGCCTCTGCTACTCCACAGATGTCCCCGGCGGCTCTACCCCAAGGCCTAGGTCCTAGCCTTTCCCTCTGCCTGGCACGTTCTTCCCCATGGCTGCTCTGTCACCTCCTCAGGTCTTTGCTCAAATGTTACTTCTTCAAAGACATCTTCTTGGATCCTCACACCATTTAAAACTCCCAGCATTTCCACTTTCCTTCTCTTATCCTACTTTTCCTTTTTTCTTCACGGTTCTTGCAAACTTCTAACACACCAGGTAATCTACAATGTATTATGTACATTATTTATTCTTAGTCTCCCTGATTAGGAGGTAAACTCCATAAGGTTGGGGATCTTTGTTTTGCCTCTTAGCATGAATTAGTTCCTCAGTAAGTGCTGGTCAAAATTAAAGGCGCATGCCTTGTGGTGGTTTTTGCATTCTGGCCTACTCCATGGATGGGGTGAGAGGTGGGGGTAGAATTGCCTGGGGTGACTAGCTGATCATGGAGTCAGTCTGATCTGTGGTGATGTCCCATTTTTTATTTCTGATTTGGTAATTTGTGTTTCCTCTTTCTCCTCCTCAACCTCCCAATCAGTCTGGCTAGAGTAAAGAAGGATAAATTACAGTTATTGTACTAAATCCATCCTGCTGCCTGTTTTTGTAAATAAAATGCATTGGAACACAGCCACACTGTTTATGTATTATCTATGCCTGCTTTCATACTACAATGGCAGAGTTGAGTAGTTGCAAGTTTAATAGATTATATGGCCCTCAAATTCTAAAATATTTTTTATCTGACCCTTTATAGAAAATGTTCACCAATCCCTGGAATAGAAGTTTATCATTTTATTAGTTTTTCAAAGAACCAGCTTTGAGTTTCATTCATTTTCCCCATTGTTTTTGCACTTTCTAGTTCAATCACTTTGTCTCTTTATTATTTCCTTACTTCTGGTTATTTGTGTTTAATTTGCTCTTCTTTTTCCAGTTTCTTAAGGCAGAAGCTTAGATCATTGATTTGAGATTTTTCTTGTTTCATATGTGAGGACTTAATGTGTATTTTCTCTAAGCACTGCTTTAGCTGCATCCCACAAACTTGATAAGTTGTGTGTTCTGTTCCAGTTACTTCAAAGTATTCTTTTAATTTCCTTAGTGAATTCTTCTTTGATACATGGTATTTGATCGTGATTGTTTAGTTTCCAAATATTTGGGGACATTTCCATATAACTTTTGCTTATGGATTTCTAGTTAAGTCTATTGTGGTCAAAAAACAAGTTTGTGTGATTTCAATCCTTTTAAATATACTAAATTTGTTTTATGACAATGAATATGGTCTATCTCGGTAAATGTTTTGTGTGCATTTGAAAAAAAATGTGTATTCTACTTTTATTGGGTGGAGTGTTCTCTAAATACCAGTTAGGTCAAATTGATGGGTTTTTTTGAAAGATACTTTATATCTTTATGGTTTGTTTTTTTTAATCTTTACTGATTTATTTTCTCTAAATGTTCTATGAATTGGTGAGAGAGGAGTGTCGAGATCTCCAACTGTTCAATAAATGCCAATTAGGTCAAGTTTGTCAACAGTGTTATTCAACCCGTATTCTTCTTATGATTTTTTTTTTTTTTGGTCTATTGCCCTATTATTTTCTGAAAGAGTAATGTTGAAATTGTCAACTCTAATTGTAGATTTATCTATTTCTCCTTTAAGTTCTGTCAGTTTTTGTTTCAGGTATTTTAAAACTTTATAAGTATATGAGTGCATATACATTTAGGATTATGTCTTCCTGATGATTAGTTTCCTTTTTCAATATGTAATGTCCCTCATTGTTTTTGTTATTATTCCTTTTTCTAAAGTGTACTTCGATATTAATGTAGCCATTCAAGTTTCTTTAGCGTTTGGATGCTATGTCTTTTCCCATTCTTTTACTTTATATCTGTGTTTGCCTTTATTTTTAAGCGTTTCTTGTGGCTGGCATGTTGTAGGGACTTACGTTTTAAGTCTAATCTGACAATCTCTGCCTTTAATTGGAACATTCAGTCTCTAATGTAATTATCAATAAGATTGGGCTTAAATCTGCCATCTTGCTATTTGTTCTGTCTGTTCTTTGTTCTTCTTTCTTTCTGTCTTCTTTCAGATTGAGAATTTTTCATGAGGATGTTTCATGGTCATTATTCCCTTGTTAGCTATACCTCTTAACTGTTTAGTGGTGGCTTTAGGATTTCCGAAATATACCTTTTACTATACCTTTTACTTACTATATTCAAATAATATTATACATTTCACATAAAATGTAAGAACTTTACAATAGTATATTTC